CACATAATCTACTTGGTGCAACTACCACCTCTGTCCGCCACCTTCAGTGGTCACGAACGTTTCCGTGTCGCCACAATACTACTTCTCATTATACTATTTTGGATATAATGCCAATTTGAGTTTGGTTTAATAATTTCGTTTTATTCTTAGTGAAATTCATAATCAGCGAAAAAATTAGGTCGCACAAAAAAAATGTTAGATGTATTATTGATTTGTTTAGTTTCACATCTAAATGATCTCAAATGATTATATTTCTCGATAAGATCTTTGAAAACGCGAAAGATATTTAACTAATTGGTTATTTTTAGTCACTAGAAAAAATTGTGATCATAAAAGAATTATTAATCTCATATTCTCTAATTGCATTAATTATTATTGATACACATACTTCTACAAAAGTGGATTGATTCTTTGTGAATTCTGTGATTATGTACTTGAATACATCTAATTCAATTTTTGAAAAAAAATATCTCTCCTTTTTTAACCAATCAGATAGTTTGAGAATTTTTTATAATGCTTCTATTATATAAAATTAAAATTAGTAGAATTTTGAGTTCAAAATTAGAATCATGTATATAAAATATAAAACTTAATACAATATAAAAATGTGTAGTTATGTCTACCTTTATCATGATTTCCTATGTAAGCGCCTCTATGATTGCACGTTGAATAAAAAAAAAAATCAATCGGAATGGGATCGGGAATATTTGAAGGAATTATGATAGAAGGATGCACATTGTGGTATAAACAGCTTAATGCAATGTTTATGACACGTGCACCTTGCGGAAAAGTCAGAGAATTTCCATTTCCATCAGTAGTACCGAATTCAAACTAATAATCAATTATAACATTAGGGATTTTAACAAAGCCAAAAAGAAAATCACTACACAACATTTACCATAGTTCTAACTGGAAGTGTATTTCTTGTTCTTCTATCCGAAATACAATAATGCCATGCCTGAAATGAATTAAAATTTTTAAGATATTATCCAAATAATAAGATTGTTAAACTGTGCAAACACAACTTACTATCATACGAGTAGGTATTTGACCGTGAGGCTCTGGTACAATTTTTATAACAACGCAATCATGAACACGATCTGGCTTTAACCAGTAGTTCATCACCTTGTCTGTAACATGATCTATTGACTCGGAATAAGCAACTTCGATTATAAGATTTGGCCAAGGGCGAGTCTAAATATAAAAAAGTATAATATGAAACTTTCAGCTTTAAAGGGTTCAAACCCAATAATAATAATAAAAAACCTACTGCTCCATCAATTCCATTTGGATAAGTTGTGTCTTGTTTTTTTGGACGAAATGAATTGTCGGCCTCTTTTGCAGAACCATCGGCATAGGTCTCTTTAGTGATTAAAATTAGTATTGCATAGACATAAAGCAAAGAAAATTAATGAATCAATGCTTACTAGTTAATCCAAAAGTATATATCTCGGCATTGGTAAAAGCAACAGCATTTGTTTGAATTTATAACATCCTAGTAATTGTACCAATACAAACTTCATGCGGTTCTGAGGACAATTCATAAATTATAACTTTGCCATTAATCCATTCCCAACAGCCACGAACATTAAACTCCTCCGAGCGTCGTTCATATTCCTCTAAAGTGACACCAACAGCAAGTTCATACGGAAGTCTTGATATAAATAGCATCAATTGGCTTAAGTCTAGACCATAAAGATATAAAAAAAAGTAGGAAAAAACTTACGAAGCTTCTTCCCAATTTGCGAATAAACTAAATTCACCTTTGTCCCACCACAGTTTTCGAAAATACTGGAAATCCGGCATTCTTTTTGGAATATCATTGCTATAACTTCAGAAGTTAGCCAAAATTAAAGTTGAAATATAAGTTGCACATATCTACTCACCTTTGGGCTGCGGTTTTTAAGCTTGCGATTGTAGAGCTTGCAGTTTTAGAGATCGAGGTTGTAGAGCTTGCAGTTTTGGAGATCAAGGTTGTAGAGCTTGCACTCGATGGAAATAAGCTAACATTGGATTCGGAATCGGAATCGTTAAATAATGTTATCATTTTAAAAAAATAAACGTAAAATATCCCACGGTTACCATGTTCACAATATACGTAATATATTCCGCATAAAACATTTTAATCACCGATCTATCACTGTAGTTATTTTTATGATATCAAAATTTTCATCAGTCAAAAACGAAGTTTTTTTTTTGATTTTATTGGTGATGATCTTGTTGATCTTGTCGATCAAAATTAAAAAGAAAAACATCGATTAACTTAATATGATTAGGTGTGACCTAATTTTATTTAATTGTGTTATGTGAATCATTTCCTTTTTCCCCAAAATATCCTGCTCAACCTAATCATTTTTAAACCTAGAGGAACATGTTTCTTATATTTTCTCTAATAGCTCATAAGCTCAGAAATTCTGAGCCTAAAGGAAATCATTCCTGAAAGTTATATGGTAACTTTGTCTTTTGATTTCTTGTGTCTATTGAGCTTAGATGGTATCATGGTATAAATTTCTTGTGTATATATTTTATAATTTGTAATTTTTGTTTCAGCTGTTGTTTGATTTTTGGAAAATTTTCAGCTTCTTTAATTTGAATTGTAATTTCATTATTATTGTCAAAATCATTTTTCTCATAATCATTCCAGTGTTTTTCTAACTCTTTATAAGCAAATGAATAAACATCAGCAACCTTTATATATTCTTCCCCACTTAATATTCAGGTAATACTCCAGAAATGGTATTCTTTTGAGAATTTTTTTATGTTTTCTGTACCAATCCAAAATCGGATATTTACTTTTAAAAATATTTTCCGGGATGAAAATTTGATGAATTTCTGAAAGTTGATTAATTAATTTGGATATTTAACATCCCAATTGATATTATTAAAATTAAGACTTCCAACTTTTATAATAAAGTCATCATGTATCCGTAATCCCAAAAAGTGTAACTAATGCTATTTTATTATCACACGTTTTCAAGTGAATTTCCATCTAAATAACATACTTTTTAAAATATAATTAATATATTAAATTTCAAATAAATTATTTCATATTAATTATATTAATTTAAAAATTCTTCATTTATATCTGCAATATAATCAAACTTTTTTAATATCGCTTCAAATTGACCTTATCTTTTCCATTGTTGATTTTAAATAATCCAATCTCAAATATATCCATCAATTCACATAGCATAATAATAAATAATATCTTTTTATCATTCATTTAATATCTTGAAATCTATCATAAAGTATTCATTCTATTACTTTATAAGAATTATTAGCATTTCGTTAAGTATTTTGAATAAATTTATCATTTCAGCTTGTCCATTTTTATCAAAATCATTTTTGATATTATTCTTCATTGCATTCTGGCATACATCAGTCATTTTCCGTTCATTTACGCTATACTAATTTGTCCATAAACAATGAATTAAAGCTCCCCCCCGTTCTTGATCGCTAGTTTATTTAAATTAAAAAATTTCCATATCCAATTTGGTAAATTTATATGCTTATGTAAAACTCTCTATAATCGTTTAGTGTAAAAAAAAAGTTGGTGTTTCCGAAGATATCCGATTTATTTGATTTATATTTCATTTGTTTGTGAAACATCAAATTAGACGTTTGACATCTGTTAATTTAAGGAATTTGAATGAATGAATTATTGATACAAGATTTCTTTTAGATCAAAAAAAAAAAAAAAAAAAAATCAATTTTCGATCTTTTTTTTTCCGAATCTTTTTTATGTAAATATTATGTAAATATTTTAAATTAGTAAATATAAATTATAAATCTATATATATATATGACACTACAAATTTTCATTTTAATAATAATAATAATAATAATAATAAAATTTCAAAAATCATTTTGGTTTATAATTTTCTTCCATAATGACATTTTTACGAACTTATTCTCGTGCCGCTTTTAGTCTATCAAAGGTTCGAAAATTTCATATATTTTATGTTTATTCATATATATGAATGTATATATGTATATGTGTAATGTTATGTGTATATATGCGTTTATGTGTAAAAAAAAAATAATAAATTGTCTCAATTTTTAAAATTATCAAAATTCGAACATTTTATTTTATTTTTTTTATTTTTCGATTGATTGATTGATTTGATTGATTTGATTGATTGATTTGTTTGAACTTTATTATTATTTTATTTTATTATTATTTTATTTTATTATTATATTTTATTATTTATTCAATTTCTGATTTAGATAGCTAAAAAACCTTTATCAAGTCATCAAGTAATTTTACCCAAACAACAAGTTTTTTCGGTTACAAATACTACCAGAAATTTGAGGTTTTATGCTGCAAGACCTAAAGTAATCAATCACATTTTGCTTTTGTTTTTTTTTTTTTTTTTAATTTTTTCTTCTTATTTTTACTTACTGAAATTTAATGAAATCTATTGGGGTGTGTATTATTTGTGTGTGTAATGTTTATTTATATATATTACAATATTGATTGATATGTAATTAGAAACTTAAAGAACGTATTGAAGAATTAATCCCCGAAAGGTTAGAAGAGATCAAATATATCAAGAAAGAACATGGACCCAAAAGTATGGGATCTACTACAGTTGATATGGTATATGGTGGTATGAGAGGAATTAAAGGATTAGTTTGGGAAGGATCAGTATTAGATCCTGAAGAAGGGATTAAATTTCGTGATTTGTCAATTGAAGAATGTCGAGAAAAGCTTCCTAAAGTTGAAAATGGATCAGAACCATTACCAGAAGGATTATTTTGGTTATTGGTTACGGGAGAAATTCCTACTAAAGAACAAGTATCAGCACTTTCCGCTGAATGGGCAGCTAGATCTGCTATACCATCATTTGTTGAAGAATTAATTGATCGATGTCCTAATACTTTACATCCGATGTCACAATTTTCAATAGCTGTTACGGCGTTACAACATGAATCAAGTTTTGCTAAAGAATATCAAAAAGGTGTAGATAAAAAAGATTATTGGCATTATGTTTATGAAGATGCTATGGATTTAATTTCTAAATTACCAAATGTGGTGGGAAGAATTTATAGAAATGTTTATAAAGATGGGAAAGTTCCAGCAATTGACGCAGGGAAAGATTATTCTTATAATTTAGCCAAAGTTTTGGGATTTGAATCAAATGAAAATTTTGTAGAATTATTAAGGCTTTATCTTACAATTCATTCTGATCACGAAGGAGGAAATGTTTCTGCTCATACAATGGTAAGTTTGACTTATTCTTGTTTGTTTGTTTGTGTGGGTGAGATTTTATGACTTTTGTAATATTTATATTTATTTATTTTATAGAAACTTGTGGGAAGTGCTTTATCCGATCCATATCTCGCATTTTCGGCAGCTTTAAATGGATTGGCAGGACCATTACACGGGTAAATGGATTTTAATATTTCAATTATTACTTTTATGTTCAATTATCACAAACAATTATTTAATCTCTATTATTAACAACCTATTAATAATAATAAATCGATATTCAATAATATTTACGTAGTCTTGCTAATCAAGAAGTAGTTCGTTGGATTATAAAAATGAAAGATACAATTGGTGAATCTCCAAATGATGAAACAGTTAGGGAATATGTTCAGAATACACTTAAACAAGGAAAAGTTATTCCAGGTTATGGACACGCCGTTCTTCGTAAAACAGTGAGTTTCTTCTATAATAATTAATTCTTCTTTAATAATTCTTCTTTATTAATACATCTAAATATAATTTATAATTCATAATTATTGTAATCCAAAGGATCCACGATACACGGCACAACGAGATTTTGCTTTAAAACATTTACCCGATTATCCATTATTTAAAATCGTATCACAATTGTATAACATTGTACCTGATGTATTAAGTAAACAGGGTAAAATCTCTAATCCTTGGCCAAATGTTGACGCACATTCTGGAACATTATTACAATATTATGGATTGGTTGAACAAAATTATTATACCGTATTATTTGGTGTATCGAGAGCTTTAGGTGTTTTGGCTCAATTAATTTGGGATCGCGCATTGTAAGTTATTGTTTATTTATTAATTAATTAATTATTTTTTATTATTTATTAATGTTAATGTTAATTTATGAATATTATTCGCTACAGAGGTTTTCCAATTGAACGACCAAAATCTTATTCTACAAAGATGATCCGTAAAATGTTTGAAGAAAAGAAATAAATAAATCAAAATTTATAGAATAATCAAAAAAAAATATTTTAATTTATTATTGAGTTTTTTTTTTAGAATATGCAATCATAATATCTAATTAAAGATTTAATTAATATTTAATTAAGATTTAATTAATATTTAATTAAGATTTAATTAATATTTAATTAAGATTTAATTAATATTTAATTAAGATTTAATTAAGATTTAATTAATATTTAATTAAGATTTAATTAAGATTTAATTAATATTTAATTAATATTTAATTAATATTTAATTAAGATTTAATTAATATTTAATTAATATTTAATTAATATTTAATTTTATTGATTATTTCAGTGTTTCGTTTTTTTATTTTATTTATATAGATTTTATTTTTAGATAATTTTCCCACCTCCACTAAATTAGATTCAATATCAGGCATTTTTTTTTAAATATAAATACATATAAATATATAAATACAATATAAATATATAAATATAAATATAAATATATGTTAAATTATTTAAATTAATTGTTTAATAATTTTATTATTTAATAAGTGAACACAAACAAACAAACAAACAAATAAATATATATAAATATATAAATATATAAATATATTTTATATCAATTTGTTGTTTTCTTTTTTCTAGGAATGAAAGAAATAATACTGTTGGGTGTTTGATTCAATTCCAAATGAATAATATTTCGATCACATAATTCTGGCCATGAACATTTACAAATTTTGTCAGGGTTAAGGGTTCTAAGTGTTAATGAGACACGTGGTCCTCGTTCTCTAACTTGCCCATTATCTAATTGATCACTCTTTCGTGCTCTACAGAAAATAGAATTTAAATAAATTTCTCTCGTTAATTATTATTATAATAATAAATAAATAAATAAATAAAAAATGACAAAATAATCATGATAATAATAATAATTTTCTAACCGAATCGAATGACTCCAAACATATCTCGCTTCATTAGAAAGAATCAATAAAGATTTATCTGGTAAATCGATATTAATCACTTCACCAGTTTTAACATTTTTGAATTCCATAATAACCGGACTTCCCAAACTAATTGACGTGATAAATTCTCCAAATGATGAATGAGTATCTATGTGAGGTGGAATTCCTGTTCCAATTGGATAATGAAGTATAGAAAGTTGTTCCATTTCTGGTAATAAAGGATAATTTATTTTTTTTAATTTATCAAAAATTGAATTCATGAATGATGGAAATTCATGTGAGGGTTCACCAACTTGATTTGTATCATAATCGAATTTATGTCCATAATGTAACTATTATTATTATTATTATTATTAATTATTATTATTATTAATTATTATTATAATTAATTATTATTATTATTATTATTATTATTATTATTTATTATTATTATATTATCATTATTATTATTATTATTCATATTCAATCAATATAATTAATATAATAAATCAACCCACCACCTTCCGATGTTTTAAAAGAATCCATCCAGTATTTGAATAAACAGTATTTAAAATACTTTCACTTAATTCATCCGATATAAAATTTTCTATTAAAAATAATCCCGGAATATTTCTTTTTCCATTCGTTGATGATGATGATGATGTTGTTGATGTCGATGACGATCCTTCTTCAATTTGTTTCATAAAGTTTTGATATTTTAAATTTACGAATTCAATAAATAACACTCTACCATTTAATATTTCATTTGGTTTTTCATGAAGTATCTTTTGTGCATATAACGCAGTTGAAGCTGAATCAAACATAACAAACGAATAAGGCTGTTACGATAATGATGATAAAAAAAATTCCAAATTATAATACTGATCATAAAGATTTTAATAGATTGGTAATAAAAGCGTTACCTTGCCATGTGTTAATCTAATTCCAATATATCCCTTAAAGGAATTAAATATTTTTATTAATTGTTCTGTCGTGACATTTCCTACTCCTCCAAAATTTACATTTATTAAACATAAATATTGAGTTTGCACGTCCGAAAACAGTTCATTGCACGTGACGTTCTCAAATTTTGTCACGGTTTCATAAGCTCGGCGTTTTTTGATTTGAAGTTTACGAAGTTTTCTTGCTTCGTTACGTGTAAGTAACATCGCAGATTCTGTACTTGTCATCATCTAATAATCTAAATCTAAAAATCTAATACATAAATTTTTTTTTTTTTGATTTAAGCCTTTGCTTGTACAACAGTTGTGCCATCCAATAAAATTCATCTTAGAAATATTTGTCATATTGATAGATATTTAACACCTCCTTAAATAAAATAAAATAAAATAATTTTTTTTTTCTTTTAATAAACCACTGCCACATCGAGTAACTAGTTAACCGGGAAACAACAAACAACGATGGATCAAACAGGTGGTAATACTCGTTCCGAATCTTCAGTTCCTCCACCACCGTCTCAACATCCCGAAGTTACTTCAGGTAGTAGCAGTCATCCTTACTCTCGAAAGGATCGCTCCGCATCACCACCTCGTGGTTATCGACGTTCATCTTACTCTCCAAGACGTCGAAGTCCTTCTCCGAGGAATTATCGTACCGCTAGAGACGACAGATATAGAGATGATCGTTATGCTAGAGATGATCGTTATGATCGTGGATATAGAGGAGGTGGTTATAGGGAAGAAAGAGGTTACCGTGATAATCCTTATGGTTCTGAAAGAAGAGGTCCTCCACGAAGAAGTAAACCTATTGATCGGTATGATCGGTAACAATTTTATACAATTTATTCATTGATTTATCTTATTCAATTCATAAATTTATATAAAATTTATACATGATAATTAGTGGATCCGATAAGGAAAGACGTGACTCCACTACTCTTTATGTTGGTAATCTTCCTTATGCGTTCCGTGAACAAGATGTAGCCGACATGTTTGAACGTTATGGTCGTCTACGGAAAGTAACTGTTCAAATTGATCATTATACTGGAAGGAATAAAGGGTAAGCAATGGATATACAATAATTAATTAATTAATTTTAATCTATTATAATAATATTTACCGGAAATATTTTATATTAAAAAATTTCAGTTTCGCATTTGTTGAGTTTGAAGATCGAAGAGATGCGGAAGATGCCTTTGATAAATACAACGGAACCAATGTCGAGGGCCGTCGACTTAAGCTGGATTGGTATTTATTATTTATTATTTATTATTTATTATTTATTATATATATTATATTTATTTATTATTTTATGTATTATGTATTAAAATATGCTTTAGTTTAATTTATTTATTGATTTTCTTTCTTTTCTCAAAGGGACATTGGTTTATCAAAGAAAGATCAGCATCGTAGAGATAAATATGCGCCTCCAGATTATGGGTCTGTATTATTGTTATTTACTGTATACGATTATACATTGAAATTTTTCGTTTAATATTGACTCATTGTCTTTGTGTCTTTTTTTTTTTGTGATCATTTTTTTAGACGTTCTGCGGAACCTTGTAAGCATATGTTTATACTGCCCAACGGTTTTACCAATTTCAACAATTTTTGGGTCATAATTTAACATTCTAATTGTTTCTAATTATTAGATCCACGTGGTTCATCTCCGCTTGGTCTACGTGGATTTAGTCCGAACTATAGAACCGGTGCAGGTGCAACATCGCCCAGCCCTTACCGTCGATGAGAAGAGGAGGATTATTTTTTAATATTTTTTTTTTTGTGATAAAATAACTTTATACTTACTTACTACTGTGGAATATCGTCTATTTTATTGGGACCAATTGTGGATAAAAGTGTACAGAGTAGAGAGAGTTTTCGAGACTAATTTGTTTGGATTTAACTTAATTCTTCAGAGGTGGATAATCTATCGAAAAATTATTGGATAAAACTAAAAAAAAAAAAAAAAAAAAATAGTAGAGTTTAGGAGAGAAAATGGTGAAGATTTCCCTCCTTCTTCCTTCTTCTTCCTTCTTCTTATACTACTACTACTTCTTTGTTGATGAGATTTATTAGAGAAAAATTGCTGATGACAAAAAAAAATATTCACCCATCATCACCAGAGAACACTCAAATTGCAATATAGTATTCTTATATTTGTGTTGATATTAGCAGAAAGATTCCTACTACAACGTATGTCTACAACGTAATGTGTAGAAGAATGAATGGAAAAAATCAAAAACGTGGACTAGCATAATTTTTTTCTTCAAATGGATGATCTTTGTAGAGTTGATAATTTTGTTTGTTATTTTTTTTTTTTTTGAGATGACAACGATGATGAATGATTGATGATCTCGAATCACAAAAAAAAGTAGAATGCATGAATGATTGAATGAATGTCGATTGATTGATTAATATATGTCGATTTATTGAGTGATTGATTGAGTGATTGATTGATTTGATTGATTTGATTGATTTGATTGATTTGATTGATTTGATTCGATTTGATTCGTCTTTGTGGATATAGGTCGAATGAGATAATGCATAGAGACATGAGGTCTGTTTTCGTCTCTTGTGCTTACTTATTCAATTATTATTATTTAATTGTTTGACTTTTTACCATTCTTTATCTGATGATCGTTGGTTCATTGGTTTATTTCTACTACCACTATTACCATTATTACTACTACTACTTGTATTTGATATTGCTTTTTTTTTTGATTTGCGTATTATTTTGATACTACTACTCCTACTACCACGTTTTGTCTAACCGTGGATTTAACAAAATTGGAGAGAAATGAAGAGTTGACCTTCTTCGACAGCATAGAAAAAAAAATTTAATCAAGGTTAACTGTCTCTCTGATCCGTTGTCACATGATGATATCAATCTGTTTTGAACCAACCATAAAAAAAAATTTGAAATGAAAAAAATGTTGATAATGCTTGGGTAAAAAATAAAGCAGAACACGTGATGCTCTGATATTACAATTGCTGATTTTCTGTGTAATATGTAAATGAAAATCATTATTACAGGTATGCACTAAGTTATAAAAACATTATTTCTGTATAAAGTTTTATTAAATGAATTGAATGTACATGTTTTATTGTGAAAATTATTAAAATATTTTTTAAAATATAAAGATTATTTTATACATCAGTTATGTTAATATGTCAGATATTGTTTCTTGATTTATAAGTATATATATATATTATGGTTATTTAATTTACAAATAAAAATAATTCAAATTTTATTTTTTATATTGTAATTATAATTATTAAATTATAAATAAATTACAACATTGCTAAATCACACCAGTGGTGTTTAATATCACTGATTGTTAATCAACCAAAATAAACACATGATTTGCACATGATTTAATTTAGAGGACTTTTATCTTATGCTCCTGGTATAGAATTTTATTCTGTTCATAGGGAGGTATAGACTCTTATACTATGTTCCTCCAAATTTTATTGGTCTATAATTTAACAGGTGATCATATGAATTACACATGTTTAATTCATGTAACAGATTTTAGACAAATATTGGATAACAAATGTGGTTTCTATATGTAAAAAAATTCTAAGTCCTTAGAATATTCAATAAAAATTGAGATTTAAAGAGTATGATACAAGGTAATAAATAATTCACCCCTAATAAACCCTAATCCTAACCTATGTATTAAGGAAGTTACACAATAATTGGTATGGAAAGAATAGGATAAGAATTTATACCTTCTGAAATAGGTTAAGATTTTCATTTAATTTAATATTGTAAACACATAATTTACACAATTTAATGTATTTATTGTTTTTAATAAAATATACTATGTATTGCAAATTGTATAAATCAAAAATCAAAAAAATGTGATATATTGTCTTTGTTTATTTAACTTTGCTAAAAAAAAATTATAATATATTCTTTTTATTTTCCCTTTACTTTTTTACATAATGGTTTTGAAATTAATCAGAAATAGTCTTCTCTTTTATACATATTCATGCATTATAATTCTCTTGTCACAAATATCATATACTCTTTTAGTGCTGGTTATACTTGTATACAAATTATTTTGAGATCCCAAAATTGTAATTTCAGAAAAAAAAAGTTAAAATAGTTTTTCATAAAAGACAAAATTATTTTACTTAAAACCTGAAATTTTTTGACTACCTAGATTTATTCTTTGATTGAATATACATATAACTGGATACTTTTTTTACTTCTATATATAGAATAGACTTTGCATAAATCTCAAAAATTTAAAATCAATTTTGAAAACATATATAGTGTTGGTATCTCTATTTGTTTGGTTATTAGATCTATTATCTTGTAATATTTTTTAAATCTTTTTATATCAAACATCTTTACAACTTGTATTATTTTGATCAGATGTCACTCTTTTTTTGTTCTTGCAAATTACATTAACATGACTGAAATCTTCAGAATTTCAGCTATTCTCTTTGTTACTTTGATCAAATTCTATTATTTCCTTTTTTTACCTTTATGATCTATATTAAATTTAAGCTTTCTTTTTTTTTTTTTATGCCAATAGGATTGCTGATAGTGAAAACGAACTCGACAATATTATTCATATTTTTAACTTGACCAATAATTTCAGATTCTATCTTTTAACTAACTTTAAATGAAATTCATAAAGTTCTTCTGTTCTACTTATCACAATAGCATTTTCTTCATAATATCAAATCTTTTTTTATACTATATCAGTAAATTTTAATAGGTGAAAATTTTCAAAAATTTACACCATGTTAAATTTCCGTAATATTACAGGAAAACAAAAATCTACGGGATTCTGACGGAATTTTGACGTTGATATAAATTTACAGAATTTTACATTGATGTAAATTTATGGAATTTTGCATTAACGTAAATTTATAAAATTTTATATTGATGTAAATTTATGAAATTTTGTATTAATATAAATTTACAAAATTTTACATTAATGTAAATTTATGGAATTTTGTATTGATGTAAATTTACGAAATTTTAATGTAAATATAAATTTTTTATAATAAAATTCTGAAAATATCAACATAATAATAAATTTTCTAATAGACAAAAATCTTTAACAATATCAAAAAAATTTTTAAACATAATATTCTGTAATTTTAATACAGTATTAAATTTTTGTAATTTTTTATATAATATTTTGTAATTTTAGTATAGTATTAAATTTTCATAATTTTTTGAATGCAATATTCTGTAATTTTAACATGGTAATAAATTTCTATAATTTTTCATATAATATTCTGTAATTTTAACATAATATTAAATTTCTGTAATTTTTTGAACATAATATTATAGAATTTTAACACGGTATTAAATTTCTATAATTTTTTGAACATAATATTATAGAATTTTAACATTTTAATAACTTTCGAAAATTTCTGTAAATTTTTGTAATATTATGTGAAAAATTACGGAAATTTATCACCGTGTTAAAATTACAGAATATTATATCTGAAAAAATTTTCTGATGTTTGTAATTTTAATATAACGTTAAATTTCTATAATTTTTTGAACATAATATTATGGAATTTTAACACGATATTAAATTTTATAATTTTTTGAACGTAATATTATGGAATTTTAACATTTTAATAACTTTCGAAAATTTCGTAAATTTTTGTAATATTACATAAAAAATTATATAAATTTATCACCGTGTTAAAATTACAGAATATTATGTCTGAAAAAATTTCCTAATGTACGAATATATGAATACAAATACTCACCAATTATTTTTGAATAAAGATATAAATTAATTATTTAAAGAAAAAATTTTGTATAAGTAAAATATAATACAAAAGTTAGATTTAGTATATTATATAAAATGTCTGATGCATATTCAGAACATATCAAAAAATTCAGTATTGAGATAGTTGATTATATTTTAATTGGTCCAACAGGTCGTATGCCTTTACCAAAAACAATATCAAAATGTAATAATAATATTATAAATATTCAAAATGATGATGACTGATGTTTTGGATGATGTGTCTTAGGAGTATTGCATCTGGTTAAAGTTCATCCAAAAAGAAATTCACATTGAATATATGCAAAATATATAAATAAGTTTAATATGGAAGATATTCCAATACCAGTACCAGTTTCTACTCTTATATATCAAAAATTCAAAAAAAACAATTTAGAAATTAGTTTATGTATATATGAATAATATAATCAAAATAAATATTTTATTTTCTATTATCTTTCAAAAAGAAAAAGTGCAGAATTTAAGCAGGTAAATCTTTTAATTATATCAGAATCTGATGATTTAGAAAATCTGAGAATATTTTATTGTATATCAAAGATTTACATAGATTAGTATATAATTATAGTAAACATAAGGGAAGAAAATACTTTTGTCAATTCTGTCTTCATATATATTCAGATAAAAAAAGATTTAATAAACATATAATAAATTTCAAAAAATATTTAGAAGTAAATGACACTCCTCAAATATTAAAAATTCCTATATTAAAAAAAAGTATAAAAGAATTTTGTAATCATAAATATATGTAACCAAATCTATATCAAATAATTTGGGATCTTGAATCTTTGATTACAAATTTAACTCCAGAAGAAGATATCCAATTAACTCGAACTGAAAAAATTCAAAAACATATTTCATGTTGATATAGTTATGTAATTATTTGAATAAATAATTTATACAATTATGAAATTATAAGCTATAATTTATATAGAGAGCCAGATGCATTGCAAAGATTCAT